TTCTGGGAATAATCCCGGGAATAATCGCGGTGTCCCCGGGCCGGGGTGGTGGCACGGATGGCTGATGTCACCTCCAGGGTTCCAAAATCCATTCATGGATTGTTTTTCCCCACCTTTTCCAAGGAAAATCAGATTTTTTCCTTCTTCTGAGGCTCAGCACATCAACATCGGGAAGTGCAGATCCTGGGAATAATTCCGGGAATAATTCCGGGAATAATCCCGGGAATAATCGCGGTGTCCCCGGGCCGGGCTGGTGGCACAGATGGCACCGGTGACACAGCGCTGTCACCTCCAGGGTTCCAAAATCCATTTGTGCCTCATTTTCCCCACCTTTTCCAAGGAAAATCAGATTTTTTTCCTTCTTCTGAGGCTCAGCACATCAACAGTGGGAAGTGCAGATCCTGGGAATAATCCTGGGAATAATCCCGGGAATAATCGCGGTGTCCCCGGGCCGGGGTGGTGGCACAGATGGCACCGGTGACACAGCGCTGTCACCTCCGTCTCCCCCGGAGAGGAAGCGGCGGCTCCCGGCGCGTTCCCCTCCCACGGCGTCTCCGAGCGGGGGCAGGAGCCTGGCAGAGGCTCCCGGGAAACCAAACAGCAGGAAAAGAAAAAAAAAAAATATAAAAAAATAGGGAAAATAAAAATAAAATCGTTTTTTTTAATGGTGGAGTGAAGAAACGGATCCCGGCCGGGGTTTTCCCGAGGTTTTTATGGAGCTGGAGGAGCGCAGGGGTGGTTCTTTGATTGATTGATTGATTGATTGATTGATGGATTCATCCCGAGGGAATGGGATCGAGGTCCTCGCGCTGCTGGCGGCGCCGAATCTTCGGGAATTTGGGAGTCTCCAGGGGTTTGGGGTCTCTGGAAATGTGGGGATTCCCAGGAAATGTGGGAATTCCCAGGAAATGTGGGAATTCCCAGGAAATGTGGGAATTCCCAGGAAATGGGGAATTCCCAGGAAATGTGGGAATTCCCAGGAAATGTGGAATTCCCAGGAAATGTGGAATTCCCAGGAAATGTGGAATTCCCAGGAAATGTGGGAAGTTCTGGGAGCGTGGAAGTTCCAGCGCCGTCCACGGTTCCTTGTGATGCTGCTCAAAAAAACCCAAAAAATCCCAAAACGCCCCCAAAACTCTCCCAAAAATCCCAAAAAACCCCAAAAATCCCCAAAAAACTCCCAAAAATCCCAAAACACCCCCAAAAAAACCCCAAAATCCCAAAAAACTCCCCAAAATCCCCCCAAAAAACCCCCAAAATCCCCAAAAAACTCCCAAAAATCCCAAAACGCCCCCCAAAAATTCCCCAAATGCCCCCCAAAATCCCAAAAAACTCCCCAAAATCTCCCAAAAAAGATTCTGGAAGAGTTTGAGTGGATTTGAGGAAGGAATTCCTTGCGATACAGCCCAAAAAAACCCCAAAAGGCCAAAAAAAAAGGCGCAAAGGCCCCAATCCGCCCCCAAAACAAACCCAAAAACCCTTCCAAAAGCACAACCCACCCCCAAAAAAAGCTCGGAATTCACCAAAAAAACCCCAAGAAAGCAAAAAAAAAAAACACTCAGAAAAAATCCCAACCAAAAAAAATTAAAATCCCCTCAGAAGGCCCAAGAAAAGCACAAAAAAATTTAAAATTTTTGATTATTTAACCCCTCCCAAAAGACCCAAAAACCCTTTAAAAAGCCCCAAAAAACCCCAAAATAAGAGTGCAGAGCCGGTTTTGGTGTTTTTTTTTGTTTTTTTTGCACTACTCTCAGTGTTTATTCTGCGCTGCCTCAGCCGGGAGCGGAACCGGAAACACAACCGGAACCGGAAATACAACCGGAACCGGAAACACAACCGGAACCGGAAACACAACCGGAACCGGAAATCGGCTCCTCCCGACCGGAAACGGCTTTTTTTTATTATTATTTTTTAAATTTTTAATTTTTTTTTTTTCTCAAATTTTCATTTTTTTTTTTGTTTTCTTCCACCTTTGGGAATCGCCGCCCCCCCGCCCCGAAATGAAAAGAAAAAAGGCAACGCTGGGAACGGGATCCTCGGGGGTTTTTTTTTTTTGTGTTTTACCTCGGATTTTGGGTTTTTTTTGGGTGGATTTTGGGTTTTTCTGGGCGGATTTTGGGTTGTTTTTGTCGGTTCTGCGCGTTGGGCAGAGCACTGAAGGCACATTCATGTCTGATACCCTGTACGAGCTGGGGCAGCGCTGGGAGGGAGCGAAAAGGGAATTAAAAGGGATGAGGAGGAGGAAAAATGGAATTTTTTACAAAAAAAAAAAGTTGGAGGAGAGAAATAAAAATAATTTGGAAATGGGGGAAGAGAAGGGGGAAAAATAAAGGGGTGAAATTAGAAATGGAAAGGGATGGGGAAATTGAAATTAAAAATAAATGGAAAAAAAAGACAAATTGGAAAAAGGGAAAAATGGGAAAAAATTAAAAGAAATGGAAAAAAAGAAAGGGGGAAAAAAGAAAAATTGGAAAAATGGGAAAAGTATTATAGAAAATGGGAAAAAATGAAGAAAAATGGATGAAAAAGGGGAAAAGTGGAATTAAAATAAATAAAAATGGGAAAAATTAAAAGTGGTGATAAAATGAAGAAAATGGGAAAAAAGAAAGAAAAAAGGTAAATTAAAAATAGAAAAGGAAAAATAAATAAGGAAAAATGAAAGGAAAAAGAAAAATGAAACTGGAGAAAAGAAAAATGGGAATAAGAAAAAAAAAAAGAAAAAGGAAAAAAATTGAAAAATAAAGAATAAAGGGAAAAATCAATGAAAATTTAAGAAAAAAAAAGAAAAAAATTGAAAAAATTAAAAAAGTGGAAAAAATTAAAGGAAAATGGAAAAATAAAGGGAAAAAAAGGTAAAAAAAATAAAAAATGAAAGAAAAAAATAAAATTAAAAACCAAAAATAAAACCTCCAAGAATTGAGGAGCAAATCCTGCCCAATTTTCCTGCTCCCCCTCCCAGGAGCTTTCCCGACACCTCCACAGAGCTGCGAACGAAGTGAAAATTCCAAATCTCCAAACCCTGAACCTCCTAAAACAAAAAAAGTTTTGTTGTTGTTGTTGTTTGGTTTTTTTTTTTTCCCCCCCTTTTTTTTTTTTTTCTCCTTTTTCCAGAGGAAAAAAATTCCGCTCCCAACGCGGCGAGAAATTCGGGAAGCGGAAAAGCCAAAAAATAAAAATAAAAATTTCCTTGTGTGGATTAGTGGGAAAAAAAAACAAACAAACAAACCCCCAAAATCCATTTAAAAAAAAAAAAAAAATCCCAATTTTTTTTTTTCTGGGTTTCCCTCTGGAAAAGAGCAAAGAATATCCCAAAAAAAAAAAAAAAAAAGAAAAAATTTGGGGAATTTTT